GGCGGGGGGACCGGGCGTGAGGACGCGGGCCTCTGCGCCACCCTTGGGCTTGGACCCCCTGGTCCCAGCCCCCTACCCAAGACGTCCTAACCGGAATGGCCAGGGCAGTTGACCCAGACCGGGGGCAGCACGGCAGTGGTACTAGGGATTCACTGCAGGTCATTTGGGATCAGCCAATACAGAATCCTTAGCCCAGAAAATGTTGCTGTTCAGGACAACTGCGTTGTAATCTGCGAGTAAAAGGTTCACGGTAAGGTAGAGAGGGCGAGCACTAGCGCGTGCCTTTAATGTTTTAAACACCATAGAGCAGCAGTGCAGAGGCATGGAAGTATGGTTATCCTCTAGTGAACTTACATCCAGAGCAGGAGGCTCAGATGAAGAGTTGACCATTACCTTTCTCGTAGTATGCACCGGATAGCCAGCCCAGCTACTATGCCGGTCTTGGTGCGCTTCCTCCTTAGTGATTCTTGCACAGTGGCGGCGTGCCTTTTCCACCCTGTCAACGGGGCACATCCACTCCTCTGCTTAAAATCGAAGAGCAGCAACACATTTTCCCCCCTTAATTTTATTTTTTTTAAGAGAGTTTTTTACTACAGGATGCATGTGCTCACGGGAGAGACAGACACAGAAAACGAGATATCATCCCCCAAGAGGGATAGCCATGCCACTGTCCCTTTTCCATTCTCCTCTGGGGATCTTGGCCACCCACGCACATGCGCTGGCCCGAGTTTTAAGCTGCTGGATCCCGGACTCGAACTGTTGTCAAGTGCTGGTCCCAGTTAATTACTTTTTAAATTTCCTGCAGGCCATGTGTGTTGGGGAAGAGAGAAAGCAAACTGGTCCCAGATCCCAGCCGAAACTGCCTTTGGCCATGTGGGAGTCCAGCACCTTAACCACATGATGCCACCTGCTGGCCCCAGCAACTCCCTATCTTTAAGGAACATACCCACATTCTTGTAAAGCCGACTAAACCATGCTCTGTAATCTCCCTAGATGGGCCTCCTTTCTCCCCAAACTGTTTCTTCCATCTCCCATAGTGTCTTGTACTTTGCTTTTTCATTACTGACTTTATTGTATTAGAAGGTAATAACATACCTGTCTTCCTCTTTCTTTGGGCTTCCTAAGAGTAGGGAACGCACCTTTATGTCCTCATGCAGAGCAACTAACAGGTGCTCAGAAAAGTCAATCCGAGAATAGGGAACAAGCAGTTAGCTAATGGCTATGTCGCTGTACTCCCACATAGTCGACCGAGGTTTGTGTCCCGGACCCGGTGGCTTAAAACTCACGCCTGGGCGCGTGTGCATGCGTGTCCAAGATCCCAAAAGGAGAATGGAGAAGGGATTGCGGCGTGACCGTCCCCCCTGGGGGGTGATTTCTCGCTTTCTGTCTCTGTCTGGTGAGCGCACACCCCCTATAGCGAAAAACCTCTCCAAAAAAAAAAAAAAAGTCAATCCAGGAATAAAACTCATAAATAGTAGAGAGATTAGCATTGGCCCAATCGTGAGCAAGTATCTATGGAAAACTTACTGTGTGTTAGATGGCCCCTAATCTATAAGATTTAGGATATTATCTACTCCGCTTGGAAATTATGCTCACTTCGTGTACTTGCTTGCTTCTCTAGTGATATTTCAGTGTAAATTTGGCCAAGAGATCACCAAATGATTAACGTGACTATGTTGGATAAACTGTTCCCAAATACCAAAATAAGTTTATCAGTTCATGTACTATTGGTGCCTATATATCGACCATTTGGATTAGCTTACTTTCTAAATGCACCCTTGTTCAAGCTTGCATTCTTTTAAATGCACCCTTGTTCAAACTTGCATTATTTTAAAGTGTCCTAGAACTATAACAATCCTAGATTCAGCTTTGTGATGAATACTGAGATGCTGAATACGGCTTTTATCCTGTATGTGATTTTTTTTTTTAATTTGCTAGAGGGTGCATGTGCTTTAGAGAGAAAACACCCCTTGGGGAAATGGCTGTGCCACAATTCCTTCTCCATTTTTTTAGGGATTTGGGGTATGCATGCACACACATGTGGCATGTTTGTCAAGCTGCAGGTAGGTCACTGGGAAACAAACCCCCATCTTCCATATGGCTTCCAGCATTGCATTGCTGCACTACAGTGGGTGGGCCCTAATGGATCATCTTTAATAGGAAATTGTTTCTGTCTCAACAGTGATAGGGCACTGGAAACCAAAGAATTGAATTAGTAGATCAACACTAAGCTATTTGGACCATCAGCGTCAAAATACTACATGCAGTGCTACTTTATCTTTCACAGCTACATGCCCTAAGGCAGCACTGCCAGAATTGGGGAGGGGGAGGAAAGCCTACAAGCAAGTAGCTCATGAAGCAGAAGATACCAAAGTTCATCAAAGAGATCAAATGAAGGCCTAGCTGCAGTGGCCCCATGGCAGCATATCACCCTGCAATGCTGAAGGCCATATGGAAGACGGGTTAAGTTCCCAGGCTGACCAGTGTATGCAGTGTTGCCCATGATTCCTGGCTGGCTTGGAAGGCTATAGGGAGGACTGCAGTAAGAGACCCTATTGAGGGTGCTTATAAACTTAAGAGCGACTAGCAGGTGGCATGGTCGTTATGGCACTGTACTCCCACATGGCCAACTGCAATTTGAGTCCCAGACTTGACAGCTTGAAAAAAATGGTAGGTGCATGTGCATTCATACCCAGAAACCCGAGAGAAAGGGGTGTGTGTGTGTGTGTGTGTAGGGGGCATCTTATTTCCCTCTGTTTCTCTCTAGGGCACACCCACCCACTATGACAAAAACCTAAAAAGTAAAAATAAATGTATATAAGCTAGGACTAGCGGCTTATGGGAAGATGAGTGTTAAACTAGCATGCCTTAATAAAACTAGCTCTTAAACTCTTCCTCCACCGTCATGCTTGTTGAAGATACTTTAAGAAATTTGGTACATACCAGGTAAGTTCACATTCAGATAAACTGAGTTTACTATCTCATCCATTTAGTATGTAGAGTACCTACTGAATACTAAGTACTAGGGATATATTGTCATTAGAACATGGAGCCTTATGGAGCTCACCTTCTATTCGAATCTCACAGAATTTCACTTACTGAACCAGCCACATACAGATGCAGCAGAAAGGCCCCCTAAATTAGGCAGTAATCATCTATCTAGGCTTGTCAGAGGAATGGTAAGGCCAGAGGAGGACACAGGAGGGCAGAGTCCAAAGGAGGTAGGTGCCAGACCATGTAGGGCCTTCTTAGCAAGTGGTAAGGAGTACATATATTAATCTGAGCATAAGCAAAGAATTATTTTATCTGATACATGTTTCCGAGTAGACTCAAGATCTAAAACGCCTGACAGGAATTCAAACTATGAAGATGGTAAGTGTCGTGGGTCAGGATAGTTTATCAAGGCAGAGCTATCCAGACTTGCTGACGCATCGGACATGGATTTCATGAAGAAATCTAGGACGATAGATTTTTGATCTGAACATTGGTTGAGTACTGATGTCAAATGTTACGTTCAAGGTGCTTATTAGACATTTAAGAGAGGTTTTGTCAAAGGCAGTTGAGTGTAAGACTGAAGACTGCAAAAGACTAGGGATTGGTTGCTCCCAGGAATGGTGAGATAGAAGGAAATTTTTTCAGAAATAAATCATTGTGTCACATGTGCTGAGGTGGAAAGAAAGATGGATTTTTCAAAGTAGATGTCTTTAGAGACCTTGATAGTGTTTCCCTGGAGTGCAGAGGACAGGAAAAAAATGCTTCACCAAAATGAGTTAGAGGGAGAATAGTAAGTTTTAAGTGGAAAAACACTTCTAGGTAACCATAGTTCTGTCTTGAAAAACAGTGGGGAAAGCAAAATGAGGAGGAGAGAGAATTTTGTATTGATACTTAAGGTGGGCACACAATAAGTCAAGTTCTCTAGAAGGCAAGGGAATCAAGTGCATAGTGGTTAGCTTCAAATGGAACAGGGCCAGTTCTTTAAACGAGAGAGGCTGCAGGTGGGCACTGAAGCAGACAGTGGTAGAAAATGAAGTGGTTCCAATTCGATGTTTCTCCTGCTTTAGTAATCTCTAACTTCCCTTCGACTCATCAAGGCAAACTGGTAGAACTGCTGGGGTTTTCTGTTTCCTTTTTAAGAGATTTCTGTTGTAGGGCATATGTGCTGGCTGTAGGGTTCACTGGAGAGACAGTGAGAAATCACCCCTCCACCAAGGGAGGATGGCCATGCAGCAAGCCTCCTCCATTTTCCTCTTGGGATTTTGGTCATGTGCGCACACTCACCCAGTGAGCTTTAAGCTGCTGGGGCAGCACTTGAACCAGTCTTCCATGTGGGAGTACAGCATCATAAACACACCGTCTGCTGGTCCCTGGTTAAAACTGCTTTTCTAAATCTTAGTTTTAGGCAGCTGTGGTGGCACAGCAGTCAAGTACTGCTAGGACCACATGAGAATGCTGAGGCTGGGGATAGGACCAGTGTGAAGGCTCATTTTGGGGGGCACCTGACTCACTCCCTCTCACTGATCAAACAAACCTACAAAACAAAATTAAGATTTTAAGTTACATCCTTTAATTTGTGGCTTAAATCTGTGGCAAAAATTTGTTTTTCAAACCTTAAGGTAGCAGGCTAGAGAAAGTTATCACATACATATTTTAAAAACAATACTTTGGTCTTAGGCTTTGGATCGACCACTTCTGAGCATCTTATAGTTAACTATACCTAATAAAAACATTCTATATGGCTCATTACAACTTTCTTACTGTAAAAGTATACTTGTTTTTAACTTAGATTAAGCTCCAATTTATCAAACTTAAGAATTTAGTAAAGGCAAAATTGTGGTCACAATATGGAAATTCCCAGTTTTATTACTTTGCAGATAGATGTGCATTATGTTCTTAAATCTACTTCTACAATATATGAGAACCACCAGAGGGCACATGGAGACAGGAGAAAGCATCCCCCAGTGGGGCATGGTCAGGCTGCAATTCTCCTATTTTTCCATCCCAGAGGAATTTTGGGCACACATGCCCAGCTTTTAGGCTGCCAGGGCCAGGATTCTAACTGCAGTCCACAAAGCTATGAAGCAAGGGATTTTTGTTTTAAGAATTATTTTAACTTAATTTGACCAGTAAGAGACAAAGTTAAAGTGAAAAAGCCAGCCATCAGGTCCAGGACTCAAGCCACAGTTGGCCATGTGAGAGTCCAGCACCTTTTAACTACCACACCACCTGCCAGCCCCCAAGTTTTGTTTAAACCCAAGTATTTTCATTTTTGCAAGTTAACTCTTACTGATGATTTGTACTTTTCTCTAATGCAGTGTTATCCTCCTCCTCACTTTTGATTAGATTTGACAAACACCTGTAAGTTTATTTTATTCATCATTATTTTGCCTAGAGAGGGAGACAAGGAAACTGAGAAGACAAGCTGCCAGGCTTAGTGGTTAGTGATATGGGAGTCAGTGCCTTCACCATGCCATCTGCCAGCCCTAACACCTAGATGTTTTGGTGAACATAAGATTCCCAAACCCTAATCAGGATCTGAGGGTGGTAGATCAAAGTAAAGATTCAAAAGTTGGGAACCAGCAGTTAGCGTAATGGCTATGTCGCTGGACTCCCACGTAGTCGACCGCGGTTCGTGTCCCGGACCCGGTGGCTTAAAACTCACGCCAGGCGCGTGTGCGTGCGTGCCCAAGATCCCGAGAGGAGAATGGAGAAGGGATTGTGGCGTGACCATCCCCCCTGGGGGGTGATTTCTCGCTTTCTGTCTCTGTCTCTCTCTGTCTGGCGAGCGCACACGCCCTACAGTGAAAATCTCTCCAAAAAAGATTCAAAAGTGTTCCAAGAAACATGTCTGCAGACTTGTATAGATCCTGGGGGACATGAAGGAACTTGTGCTGTTCTAGATGGTTTGGGGGCAGGTTAGTGTTTAGTGCTAGGCATGCTGTGGCCAACTCTTGTAGTTATTGTTCTGCCCAAATCCAAAACCATCACAGGATCCCACCCTGCAGAAGCTACTGCTCTCACGTTTTCATCTAATGCTTGAGAACAAGTACTACTACTCTCTGGCCCCAGCATCTAACCCCAGGGAAACATGCTGTTTTGGACCAAAGTGTATCAGCACAGTGGCTGTCCCCATGGGCTTTGGAGGTGATAGGGTAAAAAGTCTTTGCTAATGTAAAGTTTGGAAGCAGTATGAACCCCCCTTTTTTGTATGTGAAGATTTGTTACAAAGCATTTACAGCCTGGCACTACAAGCACCTGCTGCATTTAGGGGGTAGGAGGGCAACAAAGAAATTCAAGAGTAGAATTTTTGTTTTATTATGAACCAAATTCACATTTCAGCAGAATGCTTGAGCCAATTCTGAAGCACACATGGCAAAAATACAAGTTGAGAATATAGTCTTGTTGACATTCAATCTAACCTTTTTTTTTGCTGTCTTGTCTTTTATTGTCCTTTCATTTCTTTTTTCCTAAGTTTTCGGAAAACTGTATTATCCTCTAGGTATCACCTCATCTTACAGAATCATCATTCTCTTATTTATCGTCTTACCCCACACTCTACTAACCCATTTTTAAATAGTAACTGAAACTTTTAAATAGACAGGCAACTTCCCTTGGAAAGCAATGCTACTGAAAACATTAAGACTTTCTTTGGAAATGCATTAAGTATGACTTTATTTCCTAATGTATTTCCTGCCAAAGAGAGTGACACATAGCCCAATTAATATACTGGGAAAATAAAAATCCAACAAATACTGTAGGCATCATTTTGTTGAAAAGTCACTATAGCATTCGAAGAAACTTGAATCCAGTTCTCTATAGATTCCCAGGATCTTTCACCACACCTGATTGTGGCCAGATTACCATACAAGAACAAATACAATCCATGCAAGATCATTCTGCAGGCAAGGAAACAGTCTAAAAAAGATAAATACATTGCCCACATGGACCATAACGTGAAATACTCGTAAAACTGATAAACCTGGTTAACACCAATAAAATCTCAATAGGTCACTGTTAAGAGACATTTAAAACAGCATTATATTAGTATCGTGAGCAAAGGTGGTCCAAACTACTTTTCCCATTTGGTTTCCAAATCACTAGAATTAGAGTAGATTGTGTTGCTTTCTAGCTTCAGTGATAGCCAAAATCCCAAATTATTAAATTATCCTACTACCTGGGGTTTTCTGATTAAATGTGAAGGTTTCCAATTTAAAGACTCAGATTGTATCGAAACAGGACATTCAAACAACTGATTCAAGTTTGTTACATAGCACACATGCTAGTTTAATGTCTTAAAAGGAAATGGTGTTTTTTTTTTTTTATCATAACCTTTGCCAAGCCAACCTGCAATAAAATTTCAATTTGGATTCTTTATTTAATTCTAGCCTTTCAAGCTACTTGGAATTTTAGATGTCGAAAACATTCCCTGTGCACGGGAGTCGATATTATATGGTTCGTTAGGATCGGTTGTGGCTGGCCTTGGACATTTTTTGTTAACTAGTGAGTATCTATTTTCCTACATTTAAAAAAAAATCTCCCTATATAGTGATTAACTTTTGTTCTAGACACAGTTAATTAGAATCTAATGCATATATTATATTTTGATTGATTACAGTGATTATATTCATTCTATTCTTAACAGGTAGAATTAGAAGATCATGTGATGTTGGAGTAGGAGGATTTATCTTAGTGACTTTAGGATGCTGGTATGTTTTAAGAATTTCCCATAATTAATAAGGTCATCTAATTAAAAAGCACATTCTCTTTATAGACCAATCTCTCACTGAGAGATTGCTTGAAGTAAGCTATACCCAAGAATACATACTACATGTATATTCTACATGGTTCCATTCATATATCAAGTTCTACAGCAAGTAAAACCAAGATGCATAGTAGAGGGCCCAGTGAATGGTGTAATGGTTACGTCGCTGGACTCCCACGAAGTCGACCACGGTTCGAGTCCCAGACTCCCGCTGTGTGCATGTGCATGCATGCCCAAAATCCTGATGAGAATGGAGAAGGGATTGCAGTGTGCCATACCCCCTTTGGGGTGATTTCTCGCTGTCTCTGGCGAGTGGACGTACCCTATAACAAAAATCCCTCTAAAAAAAAAAAAAGAAAAAAGAAAATGGTGGGTAACAGAATCCCTCATTTTATGTAGACATACCTTACTGTTTAGAAAAGAATGTGTTTTTTTTATAGGCACTTTTACACCAAAAAGCACCTCCCCAAAAAATGGCACTCAGAACATTTGTATTTTCATTTTTGGGGTAGTTATCTGTTAGCATTTAAAAATTCTGTAATTATAAAGAGTAATTAAATTTTTAAAGTTAATTTCTATTGGAACTTATTAACTTATGCATATTCTTTTCTTACAAGGTTCCACTGTAGGTATAATCATGCAAAGCAAAGAATCCAAGAAAGAATTGCCAGAGAAGGTATTAAAAATATGATACTATATGAAAGCACCCACCTTGATCCTGAAAGAAAACAAAGCAACAGCAACAGAAACAGTTAAGCAATCTTGATCGTAGAGAACCTGAAGTTAGTGTGAACACAGCTGAGATCAACCACATTAAAACATTTAATGTACAGTAAGAAAGCTCTCAATCAAGTAAATGTGTAAGCTGGAGTCTTCTTTTCACACATTAAACTTGCCAATTCACTCTGGCCTTGCATCTGTGTCAGTCTAACATTCTTCTGTGTTACACATATGGTAGACCTATCATACTTAAAATATTACAAATTTACTTGCCAGTATAATTTAGAATTATAAAGCCTAGTATTTAATGTACTTGAAAAGTTTCCTTGTAATACATAATGGACTGAAATTAAGTCTCCCCCAGTTGGATTTTTAAACTTGCCTTAAAAACAAAAATCACAACCTTATCACTGTATACACTATAGTGTTAAAAATTACCAAGTATTGGGACCAGCAGTTAGCGTAATGGCTATGTTGCTGGACTCCCACCTAGTCAACTGAAGTTCAAGTCCTGGACCCGGTGGCTTAAACTAACGCCGGGTGCGTGTGCGTACATGCCCAAGATCCCGAGAGGAGAATGGAGAAGGGATTGCGGCATGGCCATCCCCTCTGGGGGGTTGATTTCTCGCTTTCTGTCTCTCTGTCTGGCGAGCACACGCGCCCTATAGCAAAAACCTCTCCCCCCCAAAAAAAACTAGCAAGTATTTTCTGTTTTTTTACAGCTAATGCCTTTTTAAATAAAACTAATGTATTGTGTCACTTTTCAAATTGGTATTTTCAAATGTATCCATTGGGTCAGTCCTACTGCACAGAGCCAGATCCCACATGGCTGACTACAACTCAAACCTTGCTCCCCGACAGCCTGAAACACACCAGGCACATGTGTATGTGCCCCAAATCCTGACAGGACAGAGGAAGTACTGGTATTGTGAAAATGACCATACACCACTGAGGATGCTCTGTTAAATGCATGGGGCCTATGGCAATTAAAAAAAAAAAAACAAAAAAAAAACCCTTACTTGACACCTTTCTCCCATTTCTCAAAGTAAGTCATCTTCCCAAAAAGTAAAAGCAGGTTTTTTTAAAAGAATTGTTTTATTTAGCTTTATTTTAATTTGACCAGAGAGGGAGATAGCGAAAGAGAGAACAAGACCCCAGGTCTAAGACTCAAACCACAGTTGGCCATGTGGGAGTCTAACACCCTTAATCACCATGCCACCTGCCAGCCCAAGTAAAAGCAGGTTTTAACAGCTCTAAATCCTTTTAAGGCCCTAAGTCCTTTTAAGACGTATGCAGGGTTTTAGTGTATTTTTTGATTAATTTTTATTCATTCATTTTACTTTTTAGATTGATCAGAGAGTGACACACAGAGAAACAGAAAGAAAGAGGGAAAGTTAGAAAGCAAGCGACCAGGTCCAGGACTCAAAACAGTGGTCAGCCCTGTAGCAGTGTCCAGCACCTTAAACACCACACCACCTGTGCTGGTCCCTGGTTTTAATGCTTTAAAATTAATGTTGGGGAACCAGCAGTTAGCGTACTTAATGTTGGGGAACCAGCAGTTAGCGTAATGGCTATGTTGCTGGACTCCCATGTAGTCAACCGCGGTTCGCGTCCTGGACCCGGTGGCTTAAAACTCATGCCGGGCGCATGTGCGTGTGTGCCCAAGAGCCCGAGAGGAGAATGGAGGAAAAGGGACGGCAGCGTGACCATCCCCTCGGGGGGTGATTTCTCGCTTTCTGTGTGTCTGTCTGGCGAGCACACGCACCCTATAGCGAAAACCTCTCCAAAAAAAAGAATAATGACAACAAAAATAAATAATTCTTAAAGAAGAAAATAATAATATAATGATTCTTAAAGAAGAAAATAATAATTTAATTGAATTTAAATATGCACATGATATAAAACATTTTCAGAATTTGTTTGGAAACCAGCCATTTGAAAATCAACCAGCTAAGGGGGCCAGCAGGCAGTATTGTACGTATTTGTGCTGGGATTTCCCACAAGGCCAATCACGGTTCTAATCTCAGATTTGGCAGCTTGAAATCACACAGGTCATTTGTGTGTGCATGCTCAAAACCCTGAGAGGAAAATGGAGGAAAAGGTACTGTAGCATGACCATCTTCCTTGAGGGGTAATTTCTCATTTTTTTCTCTCCTGCGAGCACATGTACCCGATGGAAAAAAAACTAAAAATAAGGACTAGCCAGCAGCACAGTGGTCAGGCAATGCTCTCATGCTGAACCTGTATGGCAAAGACCTGGGTTCACATGTCAAGGCCTCCCTGTATGTGGTGGACATATGCATGAAGCTGCCTGTCTCCCACAGAATAAATTTAGGACTAAAAATACCTAACATACAATTAAATTCTCAGTATTTCTTCCAGCAGAAACTGTCCCTTTCTAAGAAAATGAAGCTGTTTATTTTTAAGAAGTATAATATCAAGATTAAGAATATCTGTTAATTAAAACAAACTAGATATATGCTTAGGAAATGCTATAAAATATAGAAAGACACCACTGGAATGGATTAGGGCCATAATTGGCCCTATTACTTAATATCTTGAACTTGGCTTTTTGATTTTTTTTTTTTGGTATAACAAAGCAGGGAATTTATTAAATGAGGGGGAAGGAAAAAGAGAGCTCCAAAGAAGGGAGTGGTCCTAGAAAATGCGTTGCCTTGAACTCAGTTTAATTTCTACATCCTTTTTCCAGTGAGAGGTTTTTGCTATAGGGCATATGTGCTCGCCAGAAAAAGAGAGCGGGAAAGTGAGAAATCACCCCCTGGGAGGATGGCCATGCCCAAACCCATTCTCTTCTTGGGATCTTGGGCATGTGTGCACATGCGCCCGGTGAGAGTTTAAGCTGTGTCCAGGACTTGAACTGCCATCGATTACACGGGAGTTCAGTGACATACCCATTACGCCAACTGGTGGTCACATCAGCATCCTTTTTCAAAAGAAAGTAAGGCTCACTACAGTTCCATCACAAGAGTGTTTTCCCTCCCATGCCCATGTTCTTGTGGCTTTCACTAAGAGGGCTTTTCACAGCAGAGGCTGTGTGGCTTAACAAATGCTCTACCAGGGAATGACACTAATGATGTTCTCAAAGAATATTACGCTGATTTTAATCGGACCGTCAACAAAATAAGGATTTGGACACTTAGAAGAGAAGGCAGTAGAAAGAAACTTGCTGTTTATGAGATCTGCCCACTCTTACTGGCACAAACCAAATGCAGTATACGTTACTGAAACTGATCATGACCAAGTAACTTATGCATTCAGCTTCAGTTTACTAAAATTACATAAGCATGTAAAGTTTGACAATGAATTAAGTTGCTTCCAGCTGTAGCATACCATAATACTATCTTACCCTAGTAAGAGAGACCTCTCTCAGATGGTAAAACTTCCGATGACTTCAATAACAAGGTCATTTCATTTACACAGCAGAATAAACTGGGGACCTAGATAAAAACACAAAATTTTAACAATCCAAATTGGTTGGATTCCTTTAAAGTACCTTCATTTACATGGTTGAAAATTTATTATTTTCTACTGAAACTATTTAAGAAGTAACAGAATTATTAGACCATATCATATAGCTGAAGTCCTTATCACACTGCTATAGGACAACTTCAATAAGGCCTAGAAACTGTTAACACTTACACTTCCTGTGTCTCCAACCCAACGTATTTTCACCCTGCAGCCAAGTCCAAACCGAAGTTCCGCCAAACCTCTGGCCCACATGTGTAACTTAATCTACACCTGTTTCACATTTTTACATTCTACTGGGATGCATTTCCTACCTTCTCTGTAACTTCCTTTCGCTCACTAGGTTCTGGAAATTATAATCACCATTTTGTCTAGGTTCTCATATTACTTTGTGCATTAATTATAATAGTTGGCATTGGTCACTTGCTACAGTTATAAGGCTATTGGCACGAACCTTGTCCATTTTCATCTTTAGTATCAAGTGTCTGACACAAAATGGTCAGCTAATATTAGGGAGAATTATCAAATGTTCCCCTCTTGAAGTCACACTTTGTCAAATGTAAATTTAGAGTAACCTACCTTCCATGTCCTCTTGGTGCCTCCAGTACACTCTTCCTTCGTTGTTCCATTAATTCCGAAATTTCATACTAGGTGATATAGCAGTAGGTACCAGCTAAATAGCTGATTAAAATAGAATTGTGGTCATTAGTAGTTTAAAAAATCTTGTGGCTTATACCTATACTTTGTTAAATCTTTCTAAAGTGTTTTATGTACTTCCCCCTTCCCTTGCCCCTCCCTCTGTTTTTCACTACTTGCTTTTCCACCTGAGCAAAAGGACTTCAGGAAATTTTAAATTAACTAGGTTTTCTCTAGAGTTATGATTTACACCAAGTTTGGCAATGAGAAATTATGACTGTTCCTAGTACCATTATTTGATTTGCAAGCATCTCTTTTCGTCTACGTACCTCTACTCCATCGCTGGTTTCCCTTTGCTTCGATAATATAATGCGAGGAGGTCTATATAATAAAGTCAGGATTCCTGTTTATGCACTTTTCAGCAAAGAGCTAGGGATCAAATAGGGCTTGAATCCTTCTATTCATAGATAAAAATGTGCACAGGGGTGAAGGCACCCCTTTATTAAAAGTGATGTTAAAGATAGTATACTATTCTTTGGGTAAGCAGAAGACCTTAATGAGGAAAGTAGAGAAATTAAAACAATTGCTATAATTCTTATTTTTAATGGTCCTCTAGAATAAAATAATTTGGGGAGCATCTTATAGTAGTCCATTAGTCAGCAAGTCAGGTCAATATACCCTCTACCAACAAATACTGGTATTTTACACAGTTTACTCTGTACATTAAGTTCCACTTTTAAAGTTTTAAATTTTTCCTTAAAAGGGAAGCTGTTGGGACAAAAATAAAATTTATTACGAAGGTGCTATTCAAAGTATTACATTTTAAAGTTGAGAATGTTAAAACTGAAAGATATAAGCACTACGGATAAATGTGTTGCAAATATTTTGAGTGCTTTTCAACCAATGCATTTGCCTTACTCTTACAGGATACTATGGAATATAGAGAGAGAAGGCTACCACTGATTACATTAATATGCAAATACTAATTTTAAGGTTTCTGTTCCCTTTTTTTAAAGTTCAAGTGCACATAATGGATGTTATCTGTTCCACTTTTTTCCAGGTCTTAAGTCCTGTTTGCTGTAAAACACCTATTATATGGTATACCCTTAGGGAATATCAAAGTACTCAATCTCCACATATACTGGTTAAGGATGAGTTTCCTTAGGATTGTATTTTTCCCCTATACAAGACAAGTCATGTAAATAAAACATTTGCCTTTATCATTTAACTAATCAAAGCTTATTTTTGAAAAGTGAATGTTTCCTTTTCTGTAATTTTGTTTTCCCCTCAAATTAACAGAAATGGTTGTAAAAACCTTAAGCTGCCTGATCCTTCAGA